CATCAATCAAGAGCTATAGTAGATATTCCCTAATCTTTTCGAGAGGGGATATACTTTTTCACATTTCCTGTGGGCTCTACAAATTTATAAAATTATTTTTGGGTTAATGAGTTCGCAGGTTGTTTAATGTCAAAAGATACTCCAAGGATATTTCTCTTAAGTCATTGTCGAATTGAATCATTGTAGTAACACTAAGGAGAAGAGAAAGCTGACATTTTAAAAAATAACAGCGACTTATTCAAACTCACAGGGTCAACAATAAAGTCTAATTAGTATTAAGACCACCCACTAAAGATATCTTGTAGATACCATGAAACATCATCTGTTGAAATCCTGCAAAAGTTCTTTAATAAAAGTTTATCGAAAGTGACGCAACTTATAAAAGAAATTACCAGAATTGTTACCTATGGCTGGAGCTCAAGTGCGATTCCCTTTTGGGATCAGGGATATAATCTAACCTAACCTAGCTATGATTGATGATCAATTTGAAGACCTCGGATGCACTATTTTCCATCTGGAGACGACCTTTAAAATAGATAATTAAAGATAATTAAATTTTTCAAATTCATTAGTGCATTTATGATACCCATCCAAACATTATCGACAAAGCATTGAACTCCGCGGGTAATAATTTACCAAACAACTCAGATCCCTCGTCTACAGCTTTGAACTTCAAAACTACAACAAATAAACGAATATCCTCAGTTTGTACGATTGACTAGTGGTCGCTCGCATTATCCGCATAAAAATATATATTTCGCTGACTGAACATATTGAGTTCCAACCATGTAATGGTATGCTTGTCTATAGCAACCAGGTAGTGAAAAGAATTATTTTTAGACTCCACCAAACCGGTGCGCTCCAGTTGGTGATCCTTACCAATATTAATTTTTCCTCCAAAAACGCAAGTAAATATATCTATAATTAATAATACATATAATTGAAGCTAAATTTATTAAACTAATTTATCATACATTTAATGAAATGAAATTCAATTAAAACAACTTAAATTAAAAGTCACACGGAGATGTCAAAGATCAAATTAAATCAAATGAAAGTTCAGTTAAACTAAATTTATTAATTAAAATAATGAGTTTATAAGCAATTGAATTAAGCTTAATTATATTAAATTAAATTTAATTTAATTGATTTAAGTTCAACTAAAATTTATTAAATTAATTAAAATCAACTTAAGATTAATGGAATTAGATTAAACTTAGCTTAATTTAATTGACTTAATTTAAACTAAAATTTATTAAATGAATTAAAGTTAACTTAAAATGAATGAAATTGAATTAAATTAAATTAACCTAACTTAAATTATAATAAATTAAATTAAGTTAAGTTAGAGATAGCTATTAAATTGTATTATAATAATTAATTGAAATTTAGCTAAATCTAATACCTTAAATAAATTTAACTTCTTTAGTTAAGTTCAATTAAACTAAATTAAATTAACTACATCAAATCAGAATAAAGTAAATTGTTTTAAATAGAAAAAGTAAAGTTAGATTTATTGAAATTAAAATAAATTTAATTTAATTTAACAAATTTGACATAAGTAAGAGTGGTGTAAATTTAACTAAATTAAGTAATTTAAAATAAATTAATGGCAAATTAAATTAAACTGAACTAAAAATAAATAAATACTAAATGGAATTGAATAAATTAAATTAACTTATATCATGTTAAGTAAAGGAAATTCAGCTAAATCTATTACCTTATTTTAAGAAAAATTTATCAAATAAATTTAATTAAGTAATAAAATAATTAAGTTAAATACAAAAAAAAAAAAAAAACTCAAGTAAATTAACTACATAAAATTGGAATAAAGTATATTGTTATAAATAAGAAAACTAAAATTAGATTTACTGAAATTAAATGAAATTTAATTTAAATTAATTTTCATTTAAATCAAATTAAATTAAATTAACTTGGAGTAAAGTGAATAAAATAAATTCAAAGAAAACTAAATCAATTGAAATTAGTTAAGTTAAATTATTTGAATTATAACATACATTTTTAGAATTAAATTAAATATGTATAATCAAATCAATAAAAATAAATTCAAAGCAAATGAAATCTATTGAAGTTAGATTAAATTAAATTATAATATAATTTTTTTTAAATTCAATTAATTTTAATTAAATAAATTAAATTAAATCACAGAAAATTTATTTGAATAAAATTAAGTTTGAATTAAATTATTTAAATATACAATATAAAAAATTGTTAAATCAAATGAAATAAATTAAATTATGTTTTGTTAAATTAAAATTATACTATTGTATATTTAATTAATTAAAAAGATCTGGTTGTACACTAGTAATTTTCAGACCAATTCGATCTCATCATGCGTTTCTAATTGTAAACTATTATTTCTGCTGACTATCTAGCTATTTCACTGCATGGACGGTGACAGACTATGATGACATCAAGCGAAGCGCACGACATGTGGTACATGTGGTGTATGTGGCATGTGCGGCGTGTGTGGCATGCAATACAAAAGTGCTTGTTAACTGAACGGAAAAATTGCGTAAAAACTACGCTGACTGTCATCATGGCGAATTGCTGGTTGGTTAGCTGAAGTGCCGCCGTAGTCAATGAATGACAGCAACGCATGTGCCGCATGTATATAGCCATGAGCGCACACGCCGAACGCTTTGTCAGCAACAGCCATGACAAGGTACTGGCATTTGAGTGCACGCCGTGGGTATTGGAGTTATGCTTTTGTATAGCTAGTTGTTTCGATCGTCGGTCAGCGGTGGTTTTAATTCAAAATTAAACTAATTTTCGTTATTGAATTGGTTTTTTGGGCTTTGCAATACACACACACACATGTATGTGTGCGTCGCGATTGAATGTAATTGCCAGCTGAGTGCCTAGTTGCAACCAAATACATTTCCCCTTCTTCCGCCCGCCGATTGCACACTGAAAGCCCTCTGTATGTGTGTGTAACGTTGAAGACAAAAGGCGTAACAATTCTAACAAAAGGTTATACAAGTGCTTTTGCGGTGGGGGGCGGTTGGCTGTAGGTGGAGGGGAGCTGACGAAAACTGTTGGCGGTAACACATTTTGAAAGCATTTTACGAAATTGATTTGTGGATGCCAAATTCGATGAACGCATGAAGGCATCTGCCGGGTAACACATGTACTAAATAGGGATACAAGGATTAGTGGCTTTGTAGTAAATGCATGGGGCATGTTAGCGACCGAAAACCACACACTTGCGCACACACACTCAAGCGTTTATTTACAATTGAACTGATTTCAAATCAAACTCTAATTCTAATTGCTGAGGATTAAATACGTAACATAGAACACATACTTGTATGCAGCAATATGTTCGTATGTGGCGTGCTTGAGGATGGCAGCTTTACTCATTCTTCAAGCCCATAAATCGCGGCCGTAATGGATCATATATTTTTTTAAGTGTTAAAGTCACGCTATTTTGTGCCAAAATACAGTCAACTTAATTGGTCTTAGTTAAGATCTTTTTGAAAAAGAGTGAAAGAAAAACTGCAAGACCTATCGCTAAGAACAGGTAAATACACAGAGCTATGTTGACACTCAATAAACTGATAAACATGGCTTCATATGCCGTTGAAAACAGACTCAATAGATGTCTGTATAAATTAATATTAGTCGTTATTGAGTTTGGACATCGGCTTGACTAATTATGAAAAAATGCTTGCATAATATTTTCTCTTCAACTTTAGTGAAAGCTTTTAACTTTTTTTATACCCTAAATAGGGTATAGGTATTAATTTTACTACGAATTTTGTAACCAAGAAAGGGAAGCGCCGGAGATCCTATAAAATAAAAATATAAATTATCAGCAGTGCGAGTTGAGTCGATTTAGCCATGTTCGTCAGTCTCTTCGTTCGTCCGTCCATTAGTCAGTGTATATACGGGAACTAGTCCCTCAGTTTTTGAGTTATCGATCAGAAAATTTGGGCGCGTCCTTTTCTCCCCAAGAAACTGCTTATTTGTCGAAACCGGCGATATCAGACCACTATAGCATGTATCTGTCATACAAACTGAATGATCAAACTCAAGTCCCAGTATGGAAAAATTATTTTGTGACAAGGTATCTTCACGAAATTGGGCATGGATTATTATTCAAGGCAACGGTGCAATATTCGAAAAAGTTATTGAAATCGGAACACTATAGCATATAGCAGCCATACAAACTGGCCGATAAAAATCAAGTTCTTGTATGGAAAATTTTTGTATATGACGAGATATCTCCACGAAGCCTAGCATGGCTTATTATTCAAAGCATCGCTACAAATTTAATAGAAATTGTTGAGCTCAGACAACTAAATGTAGCATATAGATGCCATACAACAGTGATTTTGATATCAAGAGAAAGTTTTTTTATACCCTTTTACGCTATAAGAAATGCACCTGTGAAGGGTATTATAGCTTCGGTGCGGCCAAACTTAAGTTTATTAAACTTGATTATTTCAGCACGGATGTGCTAAGCACTCACTTTGAAAATATGTGCCTAGTAATAGGCTGATAACTGTATTTCATGATATTTGAGAAAAATCCACTGATAAGGCAATAGAGTTAATTTCTCTTAGGTCTTGCAGTCACTTATACATGCATACATACATATAAGTATATATTTATATACATACACATATCTGCATGCATTGAGGCACATGTTCTTGTGACCTCAGGGGCATTGAGCAAATCGCAGCATAAAAATCATATCGCTCACTTTTTTTTGCTTCAAAGGTTTCCCGCAAACGTTCAATGACAGTGTAATAATCCCCAACCGCTTATCTCTAATTGCGTGTACAGATCACTCAGAGATGCCAGCCATGTGATGGTGGACACACAGCCACAACAGTACCGCCTCTCATTTCTTAACACTGTCTATATATAATATTATATATATATTTTGTCTGTGTGACATTTAATTATTTTGTTGTTGTGTTTTTTTTTTTTGTTTTGGTTTTTTCTTAAATTTTTTATTGTAGAACGCATCCCACCCAATCGATCCTCTTCGATCAGTTCAGTTTGTCAGCGTCTGTTGTCTTGATAACGTTCTCATTTACATATTGTTTTATTCAACTAAGCGATTCTGCTTGTGCATCAAAACTCATCGATATACATATATACGTACTTTCAAAAAAAAAAATCGAAATACTTTCTTTATTGCTGTTTTGGTTAAAGTTTAGTGCGTCGTCAATCGATAATCCCACTTGTTCGCTTAGTTTTGTGCTGCATCACGTAATACATAACGTTGTAACTGGTGTAAAATTGTCCAATTCGAAAAGGTGTATTGTCTTCGTTTAAACGAAAAAAATATTGAAATCGTATTTTATAATTTGTCAAAAGTAAAACGCTGCCGTCTTATATGCTATATACATCTATATAATATATATATATACAATAACGTATTGCATTCGTTCTTTACTTTTCTGTCGTGTTACGTCACTTATCGTAACGTATTGTCTTCAGCGTTTTGCAGTCGTGTTTAATCGCTTTAATATCTGCCGTTGATTTGTGCCGAAAATCAAAAACAATAATTTTTAAAACATTTGGATCCATTGATAGCGCTTTATTGTGGGCTTAACTGTGTTTGGTGTTACCCGAAAAGAAAAAGAAAACACAAAAAGCGAACTGCAAAAAATCAAAACTCTCTAAGATCGCTTATATACGTACATTTATATATATATCTTACTAGTAAACTTGTATAGTTTTGTATCATATGTGAGTATCTAGTTCTAAAGTTCGTTTCAAATGTTTGTCTTGCAATTTTCAAATGTTTCCGTTTATTATTTCATTACAATTTCTCCTCGAACTAATCAAAATGGTGTATGCTCGACGAATATTGCGCCATGTTTCCAAGTGTTAATTTGAGCGCAAATGCAACCCTTCACTAATACACGTTATTTATGTGTGGTTTACCTATATGTAGTTTTTTTTGTTGTTTTTCTGTGGGTTTTGATTTCTTTCTGCTACACATACAGATTTATATGGAACATTTTTGTTGTTGATTTGCTATTTGTTGAATGTTGCTTGTATGTAGTATGTAAAAAATTCAGAATATATTTCTTAAATCAGCAATGTTGCACGTGAATAAACAATTTAATCAATTTCTTTTCAATAACTATTATTTGTTAAGTGTGATTATAGCATCTGCGATCCTTAAGCCAGCTCAAATTGTTACGAATATTTTATATTACAGTGTAGCTTGTATATAATAATTAATTACTTAAACTTTAAATGCATATGTTCATGTGTTATCAAACTATATCGAAAAGTCGCTAAATTCTCACAATAAAATTTTGAGTGAACTAAAAATGCAAACCTCTGGCCTTCTCTGGGCTTCTTGGGACAAATTCTTTTCATTAATTAAATCAAGCTTACAAATGTTTATACTTTCGCCAGATGTTGAGAGTATAATATTCGTGGCAACATAACGGTTTTTTGTAAAATCATATAATAACTGAGATGTATATGGAGAAATATATATCCGAATCCGATTAAGCAAATAAATGCGTCCATAGTTATGATTTTGCAACCACCTCACCTACTATTATGACTAATGATGTACGATAAACATATTGTGCAAAGTGTTTGAGGGTGTATACATTTTAGAAATTCCAAAAATAATTAAGTCTGTTCCACTTCAGATACTCACCTTCTAATATCCTTGAAAGGCTGATATGAAAAGAGTTTTTACCATACGAAAATATAATATATATAAGATATTAACTTATTTTACACCGTATTATAGACTCGTACACTAAAACCGCTATTCTGTGCACTTGACGAATTAACAGTATATTGACAATTTAGCAAGATTTTTATCAAGTGAAACAATTTTTTTATTCTGTGGGAATCTTGATAAAATATAAAAATTCAGAACTCAGCGCTTTTCTCCACATGTGTAGTGAACAAAATTATTTAAACAGAAACAGCTGATTTCTGCCGATCTCTGCATATATCTGGTGTGTGGGGTTCCGTGTCCAAAGAAGTTTAAAGCTGTCATACTCGTGTAGTTTTTTGGTTATCATGCTGAGACAGTTCATCTATGAAACCACAGTAAATTTCACAGGTCAAACGAAGTATAATATCATAAACGTATTATCTATCAGTCCATGAAAATGGTCACTAACATCGCTTAGTAATTTTTCTGTTCGTCTAATAAAAACAATAAAAGTAAAATATCTTTCATTCTAGCAAATTGTTTTCCAAAACTGTGCACAAAAAGTAAAACAGATGTTATATTTGTAAAAAGCATTGCCAGGAGCATATGATGTCTTGATAATTTATCGAGCAAAAAGCTTTTCAGTTACGACACAGAATAGAAAAATCTTGATAAATTGTCAATTTTGTGTTTTGTCAAATAAGCAAGATATTGAATTTATCAAGTGCACATAATATGGGTGTAAAGTTCATGATCGCAGATAAATTTTAAAGATAGTGAAAAGAAAAATTCCATAAAATTTTAATGAGACCAAAACAGGCTTAAACTTCTTACACTGTTATTGACCAAGGTTACAGTCAATATATCTATAGTACTCTAATATTTATTGCTCGATACTCTGAAAGAGTATAAACAGAAAAGGTGGTACAAGAGCACGACTTCTCCAAGACGGCTCTTCTAAAATAGAAGCTTGAAAGTTGCCACATTTTAAACATTTAAAAATGCTCAAATTTTGACTGAATTTTCAACATTATGCACGAGGAGTTCAAAAACTAACTGGCGAATATGTAGGCTGGGACATCGTTACATTATTGCTTTTGGTCAAGGATTCACGAACACGTCTAACCTTAGCGGCTGCTACAGACAAAGTAAGCAATGAATACGCAAAGAAGTATGAACATATTAAAAAAAGATGGCAATTATACGCCAAATTTCAAAATTCCCGTTATTTTTTGAACACACTCTTTCTCTTACTGCTATTGGTATATATAAATCTTGGGATTGAATAATTAGCAGATTTAGGCACTATTTTAAGTTCCATTTCATAACTCAATTTGTTAGATTTTTTTTTTAACAAAATTTTAAAAGTTGTCTGTTTCAGTCATTTCTTTTTCTATTATGTTTATTTATTTGGAAAACTGGTAAGTACAATGATATGATTAGTTTGCTTTACTTTTTTCAGATTAACGTTAATGTTCCATATATTTTCTACTAAAAAGGATAATTAAGAGCACTCAGAACTCTACAAACTGTTAGTTTTTGCAAATAAATCTATTTATTCAGTAATAATAACAATTTATTTCAGTTAATGAAGAAAATTAAATTCAAGATTGTGAGTTAGTTTAGACTTCCTGCTTAAATAGTTACAATGGCGGCAGTTATCGGTCTAAAGTGAATGGTCTCGGATATAATTGCTTGTCTTTTTTTTAAAACGATTATCTCAATTAGTTTTCGTAAGTAAGCTTTAATTTTATATGGGACCGTGGTGACCCACACCATTTTTATGTGACATCCTGTACAGAGTGTTTTAATTGACGAGCGATGGTTGTAACACCCAAAAGGAAATGTCGGAGACCCCATAAGGTATATATGTATAAATGATCAGCGCGGCGAGCTTAGCCGATTTAGCCATTTTCTTCTGTCCGTTTGCATATACGCGAACTAGGCCTCAGTTTTGTGATATCGGCTACTCAGCTGGCGGAACCGATCGGATTACTATAGTATTGGTATCAAGTGCTCGTATGGAAAACTCTTTTATTTGTCAAGGCATCTACATAAAATTTTTATTCAAGGCGTTGCTTACATTTTCCGAACATATTGCTCAGATCGGACGATTATGGTATACCTTATAGCTGCCATCTAAACTAACCGATCAAAATCAAAACAAATATATTTGTATACCTTTGTATGATATAAAATATACCCACGTGTATTATAGCTTAGGTGTAGCCGAAGTTAAATTTTTTTTTAGTTAGAAGATATTATTGAATATAAAGTGGTCCTTATAGGGTCATATTCTTTAAAGAGAGGTTGAGGAGCGTTACATTATATCATTTGGTTCGTTAAACGACAGCACTAAAATATGTAAGCCTGACCGCATGCAGTTGTACTTAAGCTATCAATATCGTACTTCGCCTTGGGGTCCGACTAAGTTGAAAAACTGACAGCATAAAAATTAAAAGCGTCTGAAAGTTGTGCATTAACATTTGATCAAGACAAGAGTTTTGGATAGTTTACCGCAACCTCGTTATTTAGTTGCCCTTTGTACAGATACCAGGTGCTCAAACCTGAAGCACTTCACTTAAAGCTTTTTAAACTTTCATCTCTGCTTAAAAAAGTTTCTCCAATCAAACTTGTTAGCAGAATCACATAAAAAGCCTAAACGATGTTATCATAGGTATATTTATAGTTAAATAACCTCACTCTTAGTGCATGTGAAGCTGTCAAACTTTCTTGTGAATGGAATTAAGTAAAACTACAATTTGTGGCGGGAAATAAGGGAACTTAGAAATGAGAAAAACCCATCAAGTAAACAAAACTCAAGTCGACAAATGAATTATACAAACAACCAACTAGTAGAATGATTAAAGATTACAATGAGAGCATTCACGCAGCACATAATTACTAACAACAACATTGTCATTGTTGGCAGCATAAGAATGGATGCAAAGCAAATAGTAGAACTTAGCGCATTTCCACTAATGCAAAGCCAACGCCGGTGCTTTTCGCTGATGAATGCGCAAAAAGCAAACAATTCGAAGGAGAAAGAGAAGGAGACAGAGAAAATGACGCTCAACAATGACTAAGCTGTAGCAGAGATAATGGACAGGATGTTGTGGCACGAGTAGAGGCGGGGTGGGTAGTGTCGGTAATCAGGATTAACGCTATACATCAACATCCGCCGACTCGGCTTATAAATAATATGAAAACTTCTATGACTTTTGTTTTTGTGCGCTCTCTGTTGTTTCACGAATAGTTTTGCTTGGCTAATTTCATTAAGTTAATAAACAAATCGCGAGCTCATAAATGTCAGCATGTAATGAAAGAGTTGATCACAATAGAGTAGGATATGAAATAATATAGACAGAAAGATAGAAGTTCTACAAGTCACTCTGAGTGTACTTGTATTATTTAAATGAATCCGGTAGGGTTTCCTAAAGCAAAAAAACTTAACAGAAAACCTCTATAAAGTGTGGTTAAGTTTTTCCTTGAGACCTGAATGGGGAATATTAAGTTTGCCATGAAGTTTCTAACCTCCAGAAGGAGACGTCGGAGACCCTATAAAATATAAAAATAAACAGCATGATGAGGTGAGTCGATTTAGCCCTGTCCGTCTGTCTGCCTATACGCGAACTAGTTCCTCAATTTGCGATCTACAGCTCTGAAATTTTGCCCACGTCCCTTTCAAACCAAGAAGCTGCTTTTTTGTGAGAACGGTCGATACCGGACCACTATAACAAATAGCTGTCATACAAACTGAACACTCGGAATCAAGTGCTTGTATGCGAAACTTTTTAAATACCTTCACGGAATTCGGCATGGATTATTATTTAAAGCAACAATGTAATTTTCGAAGAATATCATATAGCTTTGAAACAAACTGAACGATCGGAATTAAGTTCTTATAAGAACCCTTTTTTATTTGTGAAGGGTATTTTAGCTTCGGTGCAACCGAAGTTAACATTTTTTCTTGTGTTCTTATAAAATTTATCTAAGATCGGAACCTCCGACTCAATGTTCGATTTAGTGGACTGGGGTTGAACTCAAGATCATAGAA